ATATAATATAATATAATATAATATAATAATATAATTAATAATATAATAATATAATATAATATAATAATATAATTAATAATATAATATAATATAATATAATATAATATAATATAATTAATATAATATAATAATATAATATAATAATATAATTAATAATATAATAATATAATATAATATAATATAATAATATAATTAATAATATAATATAATATAATATAATATAATATAATATAATATAATATAATATAATATAATATAATATAATATAGTATAGTATGATATGATATAATATAATATAATAATATAATTAATAATATAATAATATAATCTAATATAATCTAATGTAATGTAATATAATATAATATAATATAATAATATAATTAATAATATAATATAAAATAATATAATATAATATAATATAATATAATATAATATAATATAATATAATATAATATAATATAATATAATATTAATTCATTCATTTTCTTTTCAGCTTAGTCCCTTTATGATTCAGTGTTCGCCACAGTGGAATGAACCAGCAACTATTCCAGCTTATGTTTTACACAGCGGATGCCTTTCAAGCTGCAACACTGGGAAACACTCATTCATAAACATACACTACAAACAATTTAGTTCATTCAATTCACCTCTAGCGCATCTGTTTGGATTTGTGGTGGAAACTGTATATATAATATAATATATACAAAGTAAGATGGGCCCACTGTAACTGGCCCACCTTTACAGGTACTCTGCTCTGCACCAACTGTGGGCCAGTGGTAAAATTTCTGTCTCGTCTTCCTTCAGCACCAGTTAGGGATATGATTCTAATCCTGTCAAAACTCACTACACTGTTTTATCCATTAAAGGTTTAAACCCCTAAAAAATTATATATAAAAATTATATATATATATATATATATATATATATATATATAATATATGCGCACCCATGTGTGTATGTTAGGTCTCCTCTGAGTGCAGTGGGAGCACTGCATGTGGAGCCGTGTGAAGGAGACTCCACTGAAGCCAGACGCTGCTCTGTTCCCTGCACAGACGGTAACACACACATCTGCAACACTTGAACACTCCACTGCATCTTAAACATTAAATCTAAATTGACTATGTCTATCTTGCTAGCGCACATTGTTAGTCTTAAAGACGACCTATTAAGCAGTTTTCTAAGAAGTTTAAACTCAGTGTGTGTGCGCAGGTGCTGATGGAGCGCAGTGGAGCGACTGGACACACTGGTCTGAGTGCAGTAAGACGTGTTTTCATCACGTGGATGCTGTGGGTATGAGGAAACGCTTCAGGAGCTGTAATCACACACACACCTGTGCAGGAGATGCAGACGAGCAGGAGCCCTGCAACACACTGCACTGCCCTGGTACACACACACACACCGCATCCCATAATGCAACCAACACTTCTCATGCTCTTCTTACATTTACATTTAGCAGACGCTTTGGTCCAAAGGGACTTTCAATTAGGAGGCATTCAGCGATTCAACAAGAAGAGGCAATACACAACAAGTGCTGCTTATGCAGAACAACTGTTTGCAATCAAAGATTTAAGTCTAAGAGTAAGGGGTTTTGTTTGGGGGGTTTTTAGAGAGAGAAGAGTGTTTTCTACAGGTGGTTTGTCAAGCCCACTCACTTAAATAATCGCACAACATTTTTTTAATATTAAGTGATTATGAGGAAGTGTCTGGTGCAAATGTGCAAAAATTGGTGGATTAAAGTGGATTAAAGAGATGAAAGAGTGTGTTTTCTACAGGTGATTTGTCAAACCCACTCACCTGTGTGAGGCACATTCAGAAATGCACAGTGGGTTTTTTTGAGATATGAAGTGATTTTAAGCAAGTGTCTGGTGCAAATGTACAAAAACTGGTGCAAAAACCTGTCTGTTACAGTGTCAGAGAGATGAAAGAGTGTGTTTTCTACAGGTGGTTTGTCAAGCCCACTCACCTGTGTGAGGCACATTCAGAAATGCACAGTGGGTTTTTTTGAGATATGAAGTGATTTTAAGCGAGTGTCTGGTGCAAATGTACAAAAACTGGTGCAAAAACGTGTCTGTTACAGTGTCCGAGAGATAAAAGAGTGTGTTTTCTACAGGTGGTTTGTCAAGCCCACTCACCTGTGTGAGGCACATTCAGAAATGCACAGTGGGGTTTTTTTGAGATATGGAGTAATTTTAAGCAAGTGTCTGATGCAAATGTACAAAAACTGGTGCAAAATTGTGTCTGTTGCAGTGTCTGAGAGATGAAAGAGTGTGTTTCCTACAAATGGTTAGCCAGTGTAAAGCACACTTCATAAATTTAGTGCTTTTTATTTAGCGTTTGTCAAGCCCACTCACTTAAATAATCACACAACATTTTTTTAATATGAAGTGATTATGAGAAAGTGTCTGGTGCAAATGTGCAAAAGTTAGTGGATTAAAGTGTCAGAGAGATGAAAGAGTGTGTTTTCTACAGGTGGTTTGTCAAGCCCACTCACCTGTGTGAGGCACATTCAGAAATGCACAGTGGGTTTTTTTTTTTTGAGATATGGAGTGATGTTAAGCAAGTGTCTGGTGCAAATGTACAAAAACTGGTGCAAAAATGTGTCTGTTACAGTGTCTGAGAGATGAAAGAGTGTGTTTTCTACAAATGGTTAGCCAGTGTGAAGCACACTTCATAAATTTAGTGCTTTTTATTTAGTTTTTTAGAGGTATGGAGTGATTGTAGGAAAGTGTCTGGTGCAAATGTGCAAACTAGTGCAAGTGTGAGTTAAAGTGTCAGAAAGATGAAAGAGTGTTTTTTACAGGTGGTTTGTCAAGCCCACTCGCCTGTGTGAGGCACACTTATAAATACAAAACATTATAATTTTTTATATGGAGTGATTGTAAGATGGTGCAAATGTGCAAAAACTGGTGCAAATGTGGGTTAAAGTGTCAGATAGGTGTAAAAGTGTTTTCTATAGGTAGTTTGTCGAGCTTACTAACCTGTGTGAAGCGCTCTCAAAATTAATAATGTTGTTGTCGTGTAGTGTGGTGGGGAAGAGAATAGGGGGTCCTGGTTTGTTCACAGGATTTCAGTCTGTATGGGAATGAGAAGATCATAACACTAGTGTGGAACATTTTTCCCTCAAATGCACATTTCTTCTCAGCAGCTCTTAAGAAGAACGTGCTAAGATGAGCATTTATAGAAATTAAGATAATGAGATTTTAGAAATTATACAATATTTGTGATCAATTTTAAATAAAATTAATCATGTAAAAATAAATAAAAAAAAACAGCTACAAATAAATAGAAAACAAATTAAACTAACATGCAAATCAAATTTCAGAAAGGCGAATCAAAAAGTTTTAAACACAAATTATTAAGCAATTTTTTCAATTGGGTTACCTCTGAGTTCTCCGGTTTCCCCCTATAGTCCAAAGACGTGGTATAGATGAATTGGGTAAGCTAAAATTGTCCATAGTGTATGAGTGTGAATGAGTGTGCATGGATGTTTCCCAGTGATGGGTTGTGGCTGGAAGGGCATCCGCTGCGTAAAAAAAACATGCTGGATAAGTTGGCGATTCATTCAGCTGTGGCGACCCCGGATTAATAAAGGGACTGAGCCGACAAGAAAATGAATGAATGAATAAATTGAATGTATAACACACCAGAATTAATATAATTATGATTATTTAAGAAAAAAAATCAGTAGTATTTATGTTTGGTAACTTTTCAAATTTTTGTTTATTTTAAAGTTCAAAATAAAATTAAAATTGTGCTAAAACTAAAGTTGAAATAAAATAAATAGAAATGTTTATAAAAGTAAATGCTAAGAAAAAAATGTAAATGCATGTGAATATTTTTGTTTTACAAAGAATAAAAACTACAATTGACTGCTTAATCAAAATAAAACATTTAAAAATGTTACATTAATGTGTAATACCAAAATAGCACTGCACAGAAAATCATACAGGGACATTTTTGTAATCCATTTTTAAACTGAAGGAAATTCAAAAAGAAAAATGTATTACTCTTAAAAAAAACATTGATATTTCTGACCATTTTATTTCTCAGACTACAGATGAATTTTTTTCATCATTGCAGTTTTAATTTTGTTTTTTTTTTTACTCTCTGTCTGGTCAGTGAATGGAGGCTGGTCGTCCTGGTCCAGCTGGTCTGATTGTTCGTCTGACTGTGACTCCGGTGTTCAGACGAGTGAGCGGTTCTGCAGTTTCCCACCGCCACTGTACGGAGGTCTCGTCTGTCCTGGTCCACACATGCAGACACGAGACTGCAACGTCCAACCCTGCACTGGTAAAGCAATACACCAGAAATACTATTGTTATCTTGAATATTTTAAAACATGAATATATTTGTAAAATTGAATATATTACTTCAGCTGAAAATGGACACTTTTATAATAAATATAAAAAATTATTTATATATAAAAATTTTGATTGTTTTTTCTACTCTTGTATTCATTTATTTATTTATTCATTGATTTATTTATTTATTTTGATTTATTAAATTTTTAAAAAATTGTTTTGTTTGTAAATGTATTTATTTTATTTATTTATTTATTTTGATTTATTTTTAACTATTGTTTTTGTCTGCTAATTTAATTTAATTAAGTTTTTTCATTTGTTTATATTTTTATTTAATAAAAAATGTTTGTTTATTTATTTTATTTTTATTTTCAGTTTATTTATTTATTTATTTAATTAATTTTTTCATGCGAGTCACTGCCGCTGTTAGCAAATCTATAATTATTAATTTAATCCAAAGTAAAAGTTTATTTTTACATAATATATGTGTGTACTGTGTATATTTATTATGTATATAATATAAATACACAAACACACGCACACATACATAAAATACAAAAGATATATATATATATATATATATATATACATATATATATATATATATATATATATATATATATATATATATATATATATATATATATATATATATATATATATATATATATATATATATATATATATATATATATATATATATATATATATATATATATATATATATATATATATATATATATATATATATATATATATATATATATATATATATATATATATATATATATATATATATATATATATATATATATATATATATATATATATATATATATATATATATATATATATATATATATATATATATATATATATATATATATATATATATATATATATATATATATATATATATATATATATATATATATATATATATATATATATAAATACATTACTATTAAACCGTTTGTGTTTTAGGTGTGTGTCCGGATGGTATGACGTTCCTATGGAAGCATCAGTGTGAGGCTCAGGGTGGCGCATGTCCGCGAGTGTGTCTGGATGCCATGGCAGATGTGCAGTGTGCGTCTGAGTGTTATGATGGATGCTACTGTTCTCCAGGTTTCTATCTGTTTAATAAGAGCTGTGTGCATCTCCAGTTTTGTCCCTGTGTCCACCAGGGGGCGCTACTGATGCCTGGAGACTCTGTACCGCGAGACAGCTGCAATAACTGGTAAATGAGTCTAAAACTTACACTATTATTACATGGTTTCTGTGTCTGACAGTGTGTTGTGTTTCTTGTTCAGCACGTGTGTTAATGGAGAGATGCAGTGTGGAGAAGAGCCCTGCCCTGGTGAGGAGAACACACATATAGCACATATTATATACAGTACTTTTCGATATACATCATATATTCTGTGTTCATTTGAAATAGTTTTTTATTTGTTTAATTGTGTGATTTTTGACTAAAACAAGGATTTTTAATTAAATGCTCAAATAAATGACTGGTCATTAAGTAAATGGTGCAGTAAAAAAACAGCAATGAAACATTTTTATTTTCAAGCTTTTTATTTCTAAAGAAATGTGCAATGCAATCCTTAAAAATTTACTGAAAGAAAAGGAAATTACTTTATATATATTTGTTTTAATAAATTATTTAAAGTTAAATTTATGTGCAGAAATAGATAATATAATATAATATAATATAATATAATATAATATAATATAAT